AATCCCACCTCGGTTTCCCATCCCTGCGGCTACAGCAGGCACAAGCTGCTCAGCCCGGGGAGCCCTCCAAGCCCCACCAGAAACTGGGCAAGGACAGTTGCAGGCAAAATACGTGTCCACATAGACACAAACACACTACCGGCCCTCTCCTGCAAGCTGCCGGCTTGTTTCAAATGGCAAGGAGTCTCTTACTACCTGGACACGTACCTTCGGAAATTCCGGGGAGTTAGTCAGCAAATGGTTGGGCAGGGAGTTACGCTGCTGTGGAAACGGGCAAGGACAAAGCAGCTACCAATGCTGCTACTGACTTTGATGCTTCCCATACGTTCCTGTTGAACTACAAACATGACAAGAAACGCAAGTGTGTACACTTCTTTCTTGACAAATAAAGCCAAGCTCCCTCTACCAGAGAAAACCCTTCACATTGGGGTTGCAGAAGATGGCTTTATAAGGAAATTGCCTTCCTAGCACCAAGCTCCTAAATCACCTTGGGTTAAGTTTCTCTAAGTCAAGATCTTTAACCTGCAGCCATCCTACTGTGCTCTAGGTGTTGAACATGGAAAACACAGAAATCCTTGGACTGTCAAATCAAGTATTAGCGACACAGCACCATCTGAGGCTCTTACTCAGGGTCTTATTTGCAGATTCACTAACTGCACGTCAGCGCTAGGTGCCAGTGACCAGCTAAATATCAACATTAGCATCATCAGGTCTTCCTAAAGTGTGCAGGAAGAGATGGCCATTTGGAAAACAAGCGGTTAAGGGCTGGTACAGACAAGGGATCTTGCCAATCTGTCCACAGACGTAGAGATCTCCACGTGGAGGCTGTGTCCGCACAGCAAATACAGTTACCATGCCAGTAAACCTTCCTAGGCAGCTGTCGTGGTTTGAGCCTACCCAGCTGGCTCCAAAAGCCCCCCGCAGCCGCTCACTCACCCCTAGCCCGTCCCCTCAGGGTTGGGGAGGAGAAAATGCAACCGAAAGGGCTTGAGGGTCGAGACAAAGACAGGGAGGGCTCACCCACCAGTTACGGCCACCAGGAAAAGACAGACTCAACTCGGGGATAACAACACACATTTCATACAAAACA